TGTGAGCACTTAGCGTCATAACCATAGGTGGTTTCGAGAGGGAGGCAAAAATGATGACTAAATACTCCATACTTCTGTAAAGATATCCTATGGGTATTCATTCCATTCTTCACAAACAACAATAGTAAACAAATATGTGTGAAGTTATTGATACCTGGTAACATTTCACTACTAGTATCCTCCTAGTTTTCCAGGCTTAAAATTTACACCGGATCGGTTTGTTTGTCAACCTGATCTTGCAGATTTGCCCGTCTATCTCAGCGTAAGTAAGAATTCCAATGATTATTGTTATATAAAGATATGGGAAACCCTCTTTAAAGTGAGTTAGTAATAACTAGGAAAAAGCCAAAAGGATAGCTAAGTGCGAGTGAGGGCACCAATTATATTACAAAGGATTACAAAGGTACCAACTTTGCCTAATTTTTTCTGACCAAGTGATGGCCACTAATACAGATTTGTTTTGTGGCGTGATTGATCAGATCTATTACTTAGCTCTATGCAACCAAAGTGACAGAGTTGGTACACGCAAATGTTGGTGCTTAGCACTGTGAATTCAACAGGTTTTTACAGTGTCTCTTTCATCATTGTCATGACTTGGGAGCGTTGTTCTTACAACCAAGAGCCTCCTGCAGTAAATAACGCACTGCGAGTATTGAGTGGATAGAATTGTTACGTTATCCTTCCCTAATAAGGCAGCTTGAAAAGTAACCAATGTCTCACTCTTCAACGATCTCAGTAAACGTTTGACGGAGGGTTTTCCACGTCCATCCCAGTGGAAGCGTGGTAGTTTTAAGAAGCACGCACAAGAAGGTGAATGGAGGGAGAGACACAAAATCCAATCCAACAATCAAACCCACTTTGTCTTAACTGCCTTTGCCTCGAGAATTGTATGGAAATACTACGAGGTAAAAGCCTTGTGAAAATGTCCGTGCATAAGTTTGAATAAAAAAAANAAAAAAAAGAAGTAAAATCAATGTTCTGAGAGAATAAAGACCCAATCTCTCCTTAATGTGGCTCTAGGAAGGAGAACCTGAACAATGGTTGCTTACCTACATCATTCTACTTGGTGGTGACAGTGGCCACAGGTCTACAGAAGAAACAAGATAGGAATAGGAAAAACATATCGGATTTATTAATATTGTGATCAGCAGAGGAATAGTCACGTGAAGGAGTGGACTAGTATGTAGTAGAACCATCACTGTAAGACAACTGCAAGATCAATGCGCTCCAATGGAATAATAATTCGCGGAAAAATATTCAAGCCGCAGAGCCTTCCAATGAATAAACGCGATCCAATTCAATCGGGTATCTGAAGTGATCGTTCAAAGAAAGAGAAGTGGTAAGCTCAAAAAGAATACTGAACTTTCGAAGTAGCAACTGAGGGCAAACTATCAACATACAGGACAGAGTTCCCCTGTCTTTTAGATGTTATCTTCACAGTATGAGTGATTCAAAGAAGATTAAGTAAAATATGTAGATCAACTCGAATTTCTCAGCCCTCCTGTTTATAAATCGAGAAAGAAACTTCCAATGTAGTCAAGAAGATGTATATTATGAGGTAAAAACTCACCAATGTGGGTGCAATGATCTCTCGACCGCTGACAGCGCACCTCTTGGCAGCATTACTCTTCTGGGCGGGTCGTTTGGTTGCCCGAACGTTGGAATTCGAACACGACCGAACACATGGGTATTGTCGTTGAGAGTATATAAACTCGCATGGGATCGTCGATCCATATTGAGACGGGACGGACACTTTATTATTGATCGTAACAGAATGTAGGAACCTTGAGCTAGCAATGCATGTGTTTTGATACCAGGCGAGGACGAACCTTTAGCACTCAACACTTAAAGAGTCCAGTCCCATTGAAAAACGGTGGAATAATGAATGTACTGGCTCAAACCGGTGGGTCTGGTGGAATTAGTCGCATTTATGGTTACCGAATTTTCTACCCATGCTTATAGTCGAAGGTTAGTCAAATGTTCTGTCGGCTGCTATAATCCGGTCACTCTCACTTTAATATCGGAATGATCAGAGCTAGCGAACGGTTACCAATTCGTGAGACTCCCAAAATAGGAATGTTGGACGTACGGTGAGATAGTATGGGTCGAAGTGCTTACCGTGGTGGAGAGGAGGCCGGCAAGTGGAAATTATCGTACAGCATTGTTATTGTGATAAGTCGAGACAGCCTACAACGACTATAATTGGAAAACGCAGTGGATGGATGTCCAGGCTAATGTGTTTTGAGATCGGTACTTAGACTTCGAAACCCGGCATCCAGTCTTTGACATCGGTACAACTTCGTTTCAGGTACCGGCTTCTCTTTGATGGTGAAATACGGTGATATGGTATAGGTTAGTTCTTCTGTCCTTGTAACTTTCAAAAAAAAAAGAACAAATCGATGTATACCTAACTTGTTCGGTACTGCACAAGCATGAAAAACCAGTATCCAATGTTCAAATCCTCAGCCGTACACCAGTTACAAGGAAAGGTCACAGCTTCAGTGGGAAGGCTGCTCACAAAAATTGTTTTCCAGTTGCTTTACTGACGGCACATCAATACCCTAAACATGTTTCCAGCTGTCCAAGCAGAACATATCATCCAGATAACCACGCTTATTTTCACCTATACTTGACCCGTTGATCATCTTGGATTTTCTCGAACATTCACCAGTAACGCCTTTGTTTGTCCGTTTCGAAAGCCAGAATAGTCCAACTGATCGCCCTCGCTCGAGGGAGTTTGAACTTATATCTCTCGTTCAGAGTTCCGAGTTTCGTGAGGAAGTCTGACGACCTAGTTGGTGTTTTCTATTGGTATACTCTCGAGAGATGCAGCCAATGACCGCGTGGTCCTACGGTTATCAAAAAAATGCAGGACCTAGCTCCCCATTGTCCCTACGACAATGCTTACCTTATCGAGATCAGCGAAATACTTGCTTTTGTAATTCAACTATGTTCTGCCATTCTAATTGTTTTCTCATTGAAATACGTTCATGTTCGGAAGTAAGTCAGAAATTTTCACGTTTAAGAGGAATGAATCCCAAGTAGCACTGACCACTAGCCCTTTACTAGGGCGACAGTGACGAAATTTCAACCGCGCATAGTTGTAAGGCCTTGGCTTGATCCTTACAAATATATTTTAGAAAGCTGTTGTGTCGGAGTCTCTTTGTCTTTTCTTTATATTTATCCCTATTTTTTGGGGGCGGAGGTGGTGTAGTGGTAAGTGACGCACTTCAAACACGCATGCTCCCATTTCAAATCCGTGGATTAATATCTGCCTAAGCCAACCAAGTCTTCCATCCTTCCGGGGTCGATTAATCATTAGCTGGGAGGATAAGAGCACCGATTTGAACATGGCCACCACGAATTATTGTATAGGCCACATATGCATTCAATACGCCACTACGTTTCTGAATGGAAATCGAATGCGTGGGCGCATCCATCAAACGAGATTGATCAACACCCAAGGACTTCATCCTTCACTATCATTTTTACTTGAATTCCACCTATCTAAATGTATGTTCTACTCGCATGGTGCAAGAAAGATGGGAAATGGTGAAGCAAGAGCCTTTGACGTCAAACAGTTCCGTTCGTGGGATCTGGCACCGCATTCGACTTCCGTTCAGAATCGTAGTGGTATACCGAATGCGTGTGTGACCTATACAATGACTTGCGGTGACCAGCAGATGTACAAGTCAGTGCGTCAGTGCCTGAATCCTCTGGTACCACTTAACCGACCTCGGAGGAATGTAAAACTTGGGTAGCCTCGGGACAGCGATTTGGGATTCGATCCCGGACCACGAACGTGTGCTAGTGCGGCCCCTTCCATTTCATCACCTCGGCCCCTCCTTTACTTTTGGTGCAGAGACCCTAAAAATAATTTTTACAGTACACAGCTCCATATACAAATTGTAAAGTTATTCTTTATTAGCCTCATATATATACAAGTATGTTGGAGATAAAATCTGTGCTTAGCTATTGTAGTAGAGAGTGAACGTTGACTAGAGTCTTAAGCATTAAGACAGCGATCTGGTTCACCGCGAAGACACTCGATAAGGCTTATAGAATCCTTGGTATTGAGAAATTGATGAGAAACAAGAAAAAATCAATTAAATCAATCAATACACAAGAACAGTATTAGTAGATGGCGAGCATGTACGGTGTTTGTCGTACGTAATGGACTACAGCAGACATGCCTAGCCCCGCATTATACGTATACGTATATAGAAGAAGATAATCTAAGAAAACAATCTATCAAAGGAAAATCTCAGAAAAAATCGACATGCACACGACATTAAGTCAAAACTATATAAATAGCTACAAAATATTTCAATATATAAAAGCTGTGAAGCACCGTAGAATATTCTAGCAAAATAAACATTTAAATAAACAAATAATTGCTTCGTCTGAGGCTTAAAACCTCAGTATAAACTAGTTATCGACACAAATTAATTGAAGCATATGTCATCTGAGGTGATAGCCAGCTTAAACCTTAACTATGGTAGGTAACAAAAACCTAGGGTAACCCAATCTGTAGGGCTGAAAGGTGCCCGTGCGGTTGGACGACGGCAAAATCTCCACAAAGTATAAACGGCTACCACGGCTAGGGTTTACAGTAATCACCTCAGTTCGAAAAAAATCTGAGCAAGTATAAACGATGTAGCAAATGCTGAACAATGTATTATGATTTAAGAATCCAGTAATGCAAACGAAACAAGCCGAAAAGTCGACAGGATGGAGAAGATATACAAAATTCCCTCAAAAAAAAAATCGGATCCCATAAATATTTAAAAATTCCAACAGCTCCAATTCCAGTTGACTTTTCGTCATGGCAAACATATGAGGTGGATCTAAGATTTGAGTGTTGTAATTAATGATGAAGATGGGATTCGCGATGCGATCTTCTACGGTCTACAATACATGCTTGTTCCATACGTCAGACAATTTCTACCTGCAGATAATTTGTGGGGGTGGGGGCGTGGCTTCCCATGACCGCCGATTCGTCATGACCGCCTATTAGCGAATAAGACTTTATTGATGAAATTCACAACGGCTGTCGCTGGTTGTTCTGGCTCGAATTCAGCAAACACGTGACAAGCATTTTCCGTTGATGACGGCTGCAAAGGGAATCATCACATTCAGTAAAGGACATACAACTTCGTACTTGAACATGTGGTCTCAGATAGGTAAAACGTCAAGAATTGGTTTGGGCATAGGTAGGTGGAAGACTCAGAGCCCATTTTCCTACTCTTGACCCATGCTCTTTTCCACCACCAGCCATAACTATACATGCTTACTGCTAGCAGGCACGGTTAGAATTCCCAAAACACAGCGTAGGATAGATCCAATTGGTACATGAGCGAGTACTCTAAACTTGCTGGCTTTAGTCCAGGAAGCAGTAAAATTACCTTGAACAACGGATTATCAACACAAATTCCACGGTGTTGAAAGGAAATATGCAACATAGTTGTTCCTCATGTGAAACAACTACGAATCCTCTTCCTCCAAGAACTTTGCTACCGGCCATAATAGAAAATTCAGCTCAGAAAGCTGTGTTTCTCATTAGGGGCTTACAGAGTTCTTCAACAACAAAGGTTTAGACATCGCTTCATGAGAGGGGTAAGCGCTTGACCAATCTTTTGTAGTTGTTGCTTTAGGCCAGAATTTGGCGCTCATCCACTTGATCAGCTTATTTGCAGAAATCTGCTCCGTACCCCAACCTAATATGTATCTGCTTCCGTTTCTCCGAATACAGGGCCTCAAGAGCAGGGTGGAGACCCATACATTGAACTACTCATGGGAAGATGATTGATAACAAGAGCAAGACTGAAAATAGGATAGAACCAACCTTCCGCGAGACAATTGCAAACAATCGAGCAGACCTCATACAAGCATCGTGATATCCAATCACACAGTAGTTATCGAATCTATAAATAATTTCATGAATTACACCGAACACCTTTTCTTCCCCTTCAATAACGGAGAATATTACGTAAATTTACATCACCACACCAGAAACCGTCCCCTCACCTCCCACTAGAAAGGCATGTGTATATCGGAAGCTACTCAAGAAAAGCTTAAAATCATTCTGTTCCCTATGTCATATCGAAGGGTGTATCGTGTGGAGCCTGCGGGGAAGCTATCGGCTCCCCACAGTGTGATCGTCTCTTGAATCTCTTGATTCTCTTGAATGAGAAATTTCGGTGGAGGGTTTTTTTCACCAAATATAAATCTCTGGATGCAGGATTTAGGATTCAATCGAGACTCACTTTCTGTCTGCCGGATCCATACCAGCGAAAATCACCGAGTTCACTGGGAAGTGTCGACGGAAAAAGACTTTTCTCGTGTTGTCTGTGAGCGTAACTCCTTGCGATGAGACCTAAAAGTATATTTCAAGTTTGAAAAATAGCTCAGAAGCAGAAAAGAGCTCCAGTTCCGAGGGCTTGGGCGACTCAGCCTTTAATTATGTACCATGTTGTCTAGTACGAAAATCTAGTGACACCACTGTAGGAATGTATAATATTTAGAACAATAGTAATAATAATATTTCATAACATACATACAGTAATATAGATGATACCGGAGCCCCATGGAAAGATAAATTTGGCAATTTAATGACCGGGCCCTACAGGGTTTATGCTATGCTAGGATCACTAATTCCAGTTTTTTTTACAACCTTTCTTCCTGATTTCATTTACAATCAAAGTTTTCCTTTCTGTGAAATGAAGAAGTAAAGTACCTTGAAATGTACGGAGACCGGCCGAGTAACATTTCTTTGAGCATCTTCTACAGTAATTGTAACTGCACGGCGGACACATTCGTTGCCCGTCAACGATTCACAATCTACACTTCCTATGTAGGCAACGTTGCAAGCTGAAATATGGGGTTATTCAGGACGGGTTTCAGTGAACATTGTATCTGACTTGATTAAAAAAAANAAAAAAAACGACTGTTGACGGAGTTTTTCAGAATAAAAGTGTAGCAAAACCTCCCGTCCCCAGTAAGGCACAGAGCCGTCTTAAGATAAGAACAAAAATCAAATAAAAAGATTTGAACGAACCTGCTCCCTGTTCCAGAAGTGCCTGGGTGGCTGATACGTGTTCAGGTGTTGTAGCTGGATCATACTCAGGTAAAAGCAACTTGGCTGGTAATGCTAGCGGAGTAATCGAATGCTGATAAACGAGAGCTGACAGCGATCCGAACACTGGCTGAAAAGGAGATTGAACTGATTTCGATGCTGAGCTCCAGACGTATCCCTAGTTCAGTTCCCTAGTTCCTCTTTGATACCGCTCCCAATCAATCAAGGATTTATGGTTCGAACACTTATGGGCCAAAATCACATGGAACCAACGGAATTCCTCAAACCTGAAACGTAGATTGATCCCTTAATCTAGCTACACCTAGCTCACCATTGAAGGGTAGCTTGATCAGCACCATATTCAACTGGGATTATATGAATTCTGAACCACACATCGAAGGGTTACAAAGAAAGCCAATCATCGTTCAAATAAGACCACCATCCTGTTCGGATGCGTGGCTAATCCTCAGAAAAGATCAACCAAGTCACTTCTGCGATTACTGACATTGGTAATTAGTTAGGACCTTTGGAAGTCATTTTCCAATTGAGGGATTCCAGTAGTTGTAAGGCTCCATGCAACAACAGCTCTTGTCAATTTTCTCATGGCATTGTTTCCTGCTTCCTGGTTTTTTATTTTTGTTTTCTGAATTCTCATACTGTTTTCTTAATTGTCCTACTTATTCTCACAATGGTTGATGGAGTAGCTCCCAAATGTTTGCAGCACCATTCATTTGAAATCTTTCCCTGTTCTCGAATTTCCTTGCTGTGACTAACAAGTGATGATTAAAGGTAAAATTCTGGTTCAAAGTCGTACCTCGTTATTACAGCCTTTCAGCTTCACACCCTTTGGTGATGGTTCGATTAGGAAGTGCCGAACGAGTTCTGTACCGTCACCTGAAACGTCAGGCTGAACAGTGTGCAAAGTAGCATGTTATGTTCATGACCTAAGAAGATATGAAGGTCCGTTAGGGACCCTTTACATTTATCATTTTTAAAAATATCTTCACTCTGTACCAGAGAATTACAAGTTCGCGGGTAACGAAACAGTGACTGAATAGGAACACCGCGGTCATTTCAGTAAAAGAAGCTTGTTGAAAGGAAGACGCTAGTACGGGTTTGAGTCCTTTCCAGACCAGTGTTTGTCGAGGTTTCATCAGTTTCTAAATTTTGTTCATATTGATATGGTGACTTTCGGAATTTCACACTAGTACTATAAGTTCAGCACCAGTTCAAAGCGATTCCGTTCGATATTCATGATACGCCTATGATCAGTGTAAACCAGATGTACTACAATCAGCAGGTGGCCATTATTTCATTGTCCTCAGTTTTTTCCCCGCCGGGAGCTACAACTGCTGATCAGTCCACATCTCCGAGAAGATGTAGTCGCCCACGTCAGGCTAATGGGCTGTTATTGCAATCGAGGAATGTTATATACAGATATTCCATATACTCACAATCAGGCCTTTGTCAGACCATAGTCCAAACCAATCAGTCGGAATAAGGGTTAGAAATTTTCGGTTCAGAAATCATTTCATGTTTTTAGAAGGAAGTATTCCAAATAGCAGTTCACAAAACCCAAAAAAAGTTTTGTTGGCCATCATTGTTGACCTGGAGTCTTGTTAGTTCATCCGGCAGAGCGTTAGACTGCTAATTTGATGGGTTGGAGCCCCGTACTTCTAATCAGTTAATGCGGCTTTACCCCTACAAGAGGCAAAGAAAAACCTCAGGCGGCTCAAGCTATTTTGGGATCTCCTTCCCATCCTTGCCATTCGTCGTCCCTTCACTTTGCGCACACATTTTCATGGTCTTCAATCGACTTCAAAATCACGTGCCCGACCGAAAACTCGGCCAAATCACATTTTCGCGTCGAATATTCACGCCAATTCCAACTTCGCGTAGTTCTTTTTGACAACAAAATGCGCATCGATCACTGCACATAGGGTCTCCAGAGAGTTTATTTTTGATGAGGCCGAACCCCACGGAGTACGCACATACACACCACTAACGTAAAACGATGAAAAAGATAGCAAACTACTAGAGGATTAGGCCTACTCTAACCCTTCTTGAACCCTATTTACATGACCGTGTGGGAGAGAATAACCAGTTTGCAAAGGATGCTGTGAAGGCGGAATGGTGAGTGGTCATAGTTCAGCAACAGAAGACTTCTGAGAGAGCCCTTCTGGCGGTGGAACATTTCTGAAGGAGATACCGTAGCCTGGCAATGATGACAGATATCGTCGGAACATAAGGTTCAAGTGACAAATATCCCGACTGAGAAGAGACTATTCCAACTTCACAACGAAAGTCCAACTTTTGCCACACCCTGACGGCGCTGGTCCATAATCTAGAGCCATGTTTCATGCCTTCATGTCTAGACTCCCGAGAGGGTATGATGTCAATGAAGAAGGGTAAGATGTGCCTATGATTGATAGGCACACGACAAATGCACATTCATAAGTGATCATTTATTCGAGCAACATTCGCCCATTTATTACTAATGTGAAATCTACATCCCTCGCACTGGGCCGACTTTGAGAACCATTGAGACGCAAGCGAAAATGCCGAAAGGCGACTTATGAAGCACAATTTGGAAAAGATAATGGGAATGTAGGACATTGTAGACGCATTTGAGTGGTTTCTTAGAAAGATACGTCAGAAATTCGCTTTTCATCAGAAATACGAGAACTCTCGCGATCAGACGAGTTTCTAGAGATTGTAATGGCTGACGTCAAAGCATGACCACAAAAACATAATCGGTGAAAAGGAGCTTGAGCCGATCTTGATAATTGCAATCGGTCGTGGAAAGCGGAAAGCGCGTTTCCAGCAAAGTAGGTAAGAAGTAGAAAACGAAGAAAACGCAAAACTCCGAGGATAACACAAATTTCCAATCATGTAGGAAAGATGACTACCCGATAACGTAAAGTTTTCACCCACTTTTTGTTCGAGGACTTATTCCATAGTAATGAGCCAACCTGATGAAGTAATTTCTACCATACATATTGGATGCAGCCCGTTTACCAACTAGTTCTCGGAACCACGTACATAGAGCCTGTAGGGTTGAATTGAAAATAGCGCCAGAAGGACCGGAAGAGATTCCACAAATCCTATGTACATGAAGGATGCACTTAAATCAAAGTTCTTTGTCCCCTATAAACAGCCCCTCGCTAGTTGCCCTGCTACGAACTTTTG